GGGCAGGGCACAGTTTGCTGAAAAAGGATAATGACGAACAGGGCAGCAGCAGTACTAAGCCACTGGTTCTGCTGCCCTGGTGTGGTCACGGAGAGGTCGGGGGCCTGCTTCAGTCGAACTGCGCAGACCCTGCGCTCAGAACAGGGCAGCACGACACAGGTGTCCCCCCACGCGGGGAGGACTCTGAGCCCGCTCGCACACGGGGCTGACGGGTGAGCTGCGTGAACCTCTTGCCCCTGCCCTCCAACCGCCACGCTTTCAGCGGGCGAGACGCCGAGGCTCCGGGCGAGACGCCGCTGGGGCAGAGCTGCAGAGTCCCCATCAGCACTGTGGACGTCTGGCCTGCATTCCCCGTGACGAGATGCTCATGCAGCATTACAATTCATTAAGTCGCAATGAAGTCTAATCGATAAGGACTCAAAAACATTGTCCCATGAGAGCTCTCTATGAACTTGCTGTCACTGCAGTTTTTTTCACTGTAAATTAATTCTCCTCAGTTAAATAAAGGACTGATATTACCACATTTGCTAGCAGTCAGTATGACTGGTAAGACAAACTAGGCATTAAGAAATAGGCCTCTGATGGTTTAAAAGAATATATTAGTAATGAATGAGTCTGGTACTCAAAAAGTTTAAGTTGTACCCAGCTGGTGTGGCTCAGTGGAAAGAGTGTTGCCCCAGGGACTGAGAGGTCCCGGTTTGATTCCCAGTCAGGACACAGGCCAGGGCTGTGGGCTCAGTCCCCAGTAGGGGGCGTGCAGGAGGCAGCTGATTGATGTTTCACTCACACATCGATGTTTCTCTCTCTTGCTTCCTCTCTAAAAAAAAAAATCAATAAAAACATATTAAAAAAAATTAAGCTGTTGCCTTCCCTTGGTGAGAGGGGGAGTCCGAGAAAGCCTCTGCTAACACATGTGGTCAGGCCAGCTCCCAGCTTCTGAAACAGCTCGAAGAACAGCAAGTTTCGACTTTCAATCCTTGTATAATTTAGGCTTAGGGTTTTACCTAACTGCTCTCTGAGATGCTCTGAGAAATTTAACCCCAAAATACTGGTCTAGATCAAACGTAGTCCTTGACACACAGCAAGTCAAAGTCAACTTCACTTTCTGTTTCAATTAAAATAAGTTTACAGTAAACCAAAAAGAAAGTCTACAGATCAAAACCTTTTTAAACCTAGAAGTCACTTGACTTTACATAACCACCTACACAACAAATGTACATACAACCAATGAATAATTGAGATCGTCAGTGAGCCACTCTTTAATAATAATAAAACACCAGAGTCTGATGTGAAAGTCTGTAAAAAAAAAAAAAGTCAGGGCACATGCAAGAATCAACCAATGAGCTCATAAACAGGTGTAACGACAAATCTCTCCCCCTCCCTCCTTTCCTTTCTCTCTCAAATCAATAAACATTTTTAAAAAAGGCTTTTCTTTTAAAAAAAAGTGTATAGGTAGCTGATGATGACACGGTTTGTCATGAAAACGTACTTGCTGAATGTTCACAGCACATAGGGCGCCGTTAGGGTTCATGGGAGATGACGGGAGCACAGCCCGGACGTGGAAGAGGCATAGCCCAGGGCGGAGGGGGGAGGACACAGACTGCAGGGCTGGGTGGCACTGCCCAGGGCGGAGGGGGGAAGGACACACACTGCAGGGCTGGGTGGCACTGCCCAGGGCGGAGGGGGGAGGACACAGACTGCAGGGCTGGGTGGCACGGCCCAGGGCGGAGGGGGGAGGACACAGACTGCAGGGCTGGGTGGCACGGCCCAGGGCGGAGGGGGGAGGACACAGACTGCAGGGCTGGGTGGCACACAGACTGCAGGGCTGGGGGGCACTGCCCAGGGCGGAGGGGGGAGGACACACACTGCAGGGCTGGGTGGCACGGCCCAGGGCGGAGGGGGGAGGACACAGATGCAGGGCTGGGTGGCACGGCCCAGGGCGGAGGGGGGAGGACAGAGACTGCAGGGCTGGGTGGCACTGCCCAGGGCGGAGGGGGGAGGACACACACTGCAGGGCTGGGTGGCACGGCCCAGGGCGGAGGGGGAGGACACAGATGCAGGGCTGGGTGGCACAGCCCAGGGCGGAGGGGGGAGGACACAGATGCAGGGCTGGGTGGCACGGCCCAGGGCGGAGGGGGGAGGACAGAGACTGCAGGGCTGGGTGGCACTGCCCAGGGCGGAGGGGGGAGGACACACACTGCAGGGCTGGGTGGCACGGCCCAGGGCGGAGGGGGAGGACACAGATGCAGGGCTGGGTGGCACAGCGCTAGTCCGGCCTCCAGCAAGCCCTCCTCTAAACATAAGTCACTGCTCTTCCAACGTGACACGTGTCTTCAGCACACACGTCAGGATGCCATGAAGGGAGCTCGTCGCAAACAAGACCCAGGCGCAGAAGTGCCCACTGCGTGAGGACACTTCATCCACACGTCACCAACAGCAAAGAGGTGCTTGGAGTTCCCGAACTGGGCGTACCCACGGCACAGTCTGTGCGCAGCTGGAGTTTACCTAGGCTAGAAGCAGCCAGCCCTGGGGCCTTCCCCACTCTGCCTCCCGAGTGTTCATTTAGAAAGCCATACCAGCTCTGCTAAAGTTTCTAGACCCTTCTGGCAGAAAAATAGATAAACTCAGATCAGGTCTAGAACAATAGCCTAAGAAAAGAATCTTGTTTTTCAGAACTTTCTCCAACCGCATCGCCTTCTGCAGTGAGTGACAGCGGACCTGCAGCCGGACACAGCCGGCCCGGCCTCCAGAGAACGCGTCCCTCTAGGTCCAGTGAGGCCACTGTGCCCAGAAACGAGATGTATGCAGAAAAGGGCTCTGAGGACAGGCCCCGGTGTCCTTCACCTGAACTCGAAACTTGATGTAACGATGTCTAACCTAAGAAAAGGACTCACAACCTAACAAGCCCATGTTCTCTGACACCTCGCTGTCCGGACAAGCACCCCGCGGACAGCCTGGGTCCGGGCCTGCTGTCGGGCGAGGCTGAGCGCATGCCCACCCCCGAGGGCAGGAGAGGTCCTGCTGGCGATGTACAATCATCTGCTCACTTCCCAGACGGGGTGTTTCTCATTCTCTGCACTTAATTTCACAAAAGTTATTATTCCTACCGAAGGAATTATTTGTCTGGGATTAAAAAATGACATTTAGGATAATTATGTTGGTATTCTCCGAGCTCTCAAACGTTCATTTAACTTAGATCACATCACAAACAGAAGTCTCCTAAGTGGCTGAGGGCTGCGGGCTTGTTTCCAAGCAGGAGCAGCCAGTGTGGCTGGCTCACCGGTCCAGCCCGAGCCAGCCCCAGGGGGCTCCAGTGAAGGTCTCGCAGGGCACAGGGGTGGGGCGGAGGTCGGGGAGACACTGTGGACCCTGAGGGCAGGGCAGCGGGCTGCGTCGCTGCCCCTCCCACTGCAGGGCAGCAGGGCAAACACCGAGATGCGTTCTCACGTGGTCACTGATTCCCTGTGTGGCTTTAGGCAAATCAACTAATTTCTTTAAACTTCAGCTTCTTAAATTTCATTGGCAAATTGATAAAGCAGTAGGTGTCAATACCAATTCCACAGCACCGTCACGCAGTTCAAATCGGATCAAGTAAGGGAAACTGCCAACGCAAACGCCATGAAGAACTGCCAGACGTTGCTATCGGAAGGGAGCGCTCGGCGGCGGCACCCTGACCGGCCCGCGCACGTGCTCGCTCACTCCGTGCATGTCCTGCGCCCGGCCGGCAGCGCTGTACAGCAGGAGGCAGAGGACACGGGGCAGGGACACAATAAACCAATAACGATCTGTCACCTCACACCTGTCAGAATGGCTATCGTCAATAAATCAACAAACAACAAGTGCTGGCGAGGGTGTGGAGACAAGGGGACTCTCGTGCACTGCTGGTGGGAATGCAGACTGGGGCAGCCACTGTGGAAAGCAGTATGGATTAATTTTTTTTTCCTCAAAAAATTAAAAGTGGATCTGCCATTTGACCCAGTGATTCCACCTCTGGGAATGCATCCGAAGAAACCCAAAACACCAATCAGAAAGAATATATGTACCCCCATGTTCGTAGCAGCACTATTTACAATAGCTAAGATCTGGAAACAGCCCAAGTGCCCATCAGTAGATGATGGATAAAAAGCTGTGGTGCATGTACACAATGGAATGCCATGTAGCCATAAAAAAGAAATCTTACCTTTTGTGACAGCATGGAGGGCCCTGGAGAGCATTATGCTAAGTGAAATAAGCCAGTCAGAAAAGACAAGTATCATATGATCTCAGTCATATGTGGAATCTAATGGACAAACGTAGAGACAGATTCATGGACACAGAGAACAGACTGACAGCTGCCAGAGGGGAGGAGGTGGGGGGCTGGGTGAGTTGGGCGAAGGGATTAAGCGAAGAAAGACTCACGGACACAGAGAACAGTGCTGTGACTGCTGGGGGGGTGGGGGTGGGCGGAGGTAGAAGAGCAAAGGGGGTACACGGTGCTGGAAGGAGACTGGACTGAGGTGGTGGACACACAATGCACAGATGATGTGTCACAGAACCGCACACCTGAACCCTAAACGACTGTGTTAACAGTGTCCCCACTATGTCGGCAACAAGCGTGCGCCTGAGGGATGGGTCACAGCAGCAGGACACGCAGCGGCGCGGGGGAGGCGCGAAGCCCACTGTACCTACTGACTCTATTTAATTTAGAATCATAGTAAGAATCCTCACAAAACCCCCAGTTGTTCACAAATGAAGAAACGAAGACTCGAACTCGTCATCTGCCACACGACAGCAGGGGCCATGTGCAGAGACCAGGGCCAAACCCAGGCAGGCTCAGCAGCGCCAGCCGCCGCCCCAGGCTGCACACTTCCCGCAGGTGCCTCCCGGGACACCGAGTCAGCAAGCTGGAGCCAGAGAGGTGGCTACGGGCGTCTGCGCCCCATCACGCCGCTCCTGGGACAATGCGGCACGTCCGGCTCTCCCTGGACCCAGGCCCAGCTGAGTGCCAGCAGCACCCTCACCTGTGGACATGAAGAACGGGATGCGGAACTTGCCGCTCAGCACCCGGGCCCGCAGATTCTGCAGCGTGCTCCCGTCGAACGGCAGGGCGCCACACACAAGCACGTAGAGGACCACGCCCAGGCTCTGCACCCAAACAGAGGACGGACCATTAATCTCAGAGGAAACAGAAGAGGCCATTCTAGTATTTGTCTGAAGATGCTGTGAGTCATGCACAAGATAATGGAACAAACTTTTCTTCCTTTTCTTCTTATGAGAAATAAGACAGGGCACTGTCAAAGCCAATCATCTTCACAACACTTACCATTCTCCCAGACACTAATCCTGGGAATAATCTAGAGTTCCCTCAGTACTCTGTCCTTCACAAGGCCACCCACCCAGAGGGGCAGCCGGCAGAGAACCGGGGTGCGGAGAGCAGGTGAGCGAGGTCTCACTTCACATGCAACACTCTGCAGCCCAGGAGGACACTCATCCGTCAAGGGTCGCTCAGGTCACGGGCATCAGAGAAGGCGGCCACATACCCAGATGTCCACTTTGGGGCCGTCGTACTCCTTCCCTTCGAAGAGCTCGGGAGCCGCATAGGGAGGGCTGCCGCACCAGGTCTTCAGCAGCTGCCCAGGGGTGAAAAGGTTACTGAAGCCAAAATCTGGAAAGGCAAACGGACGTAAGTCAAGTCATCTTAACCTCGCAAGTACTGGTTTCTAGGCGCTAGAATACAGGTTCTGAATATCCAGTGTAAAAAGAGAACACTTGGAAACAATGTAACCAGCCACTCAACCCTACAACAGCGGAGGAGAGACACCAGGAGCCGGGGTGGGAGGGCGCCGGTAACCGAAAGCAAGTGTGCGGGCCGCTCCCTTCCCACCCAGGCTCAGCGCCTGAAGAACATGAGGCTGTAAGACGGCTGGTGTCCAGGCCGCATCAGATCTAAGTACCCGTGAGCCTGCTCACGGACTCACCATTTCCTAGTACTTTCACTTCTTAGGGCAAACATTTATGACACTGACTTAAAAAAAATCAAAGTAGCATTATTATTAAAGTTGATTATTATTATTATTATTTTTTTATCCTCACCCGAGGACATTTTTTTTTGTTGTTCAGGTAGAGTGGGAGGGAGAGAGAGGAAGAGAGAGAGAGAGAGAGAAACATCGACGTGAAAGGGACACATCGAGTGGCTGCCACCCGCACGACCGACCAGGGCCGGGGACAAACTGCAACCGAGGTACATGCCCTTAGCGGGAACCGAACCCGGGTCTCTCGGGACCGCAGGCTGATGCTCTAACCGCTGAGCCAAACCGGCCAGGGCTAAAGTTGATTATTCAAAATAAAGAATATGCAACTTATTTCCATTCCCTTCTGCCCCAGACCCGCCCCATTCTGTGGTCACAGCATCTGAAGATGCTCAGCAACCCTCTCCCAGCCCCCCCTCCCCATCCCAGCTGGCCTGTCGTCAGCTGTCCCCTCGCCGCCCCCGGGCTGCCGCACTCCAGCACTCCAGGACGTGTGCTGTCTGCACCACGCCTCACTCAGCATCTTCTCTGCGAACCTCTTCTGGAACCGCAGTTCCCACTGCTATTTGTTTGCTAATAATTCTCCATCTTTCTATCTCTGCCACTAGTTCCAACTCTTAAGTCCTTAACATGAACTTCTAACCTTTGCCTGGAAAGAAACACCTCAAACTCACCATTTTCCAAAATCCAATCTGCTCTTCCAGCGACGCTCCCATGGTCACTAACGGTCATTAACGGCATCACTGCCTCAGTCACCAGGAACACTAGAGTCACCTCTCCTTCCTTCCTCACTTTCCACCTGGTGAGACGTGACTGCTTGTACCTGTACGTGTGCCCTGGGTCCAGCTCCTCCTTTCTGTCTACTTCCCTACACCTCAGTTCACAGTCTTGTCGTCTCGGACATAGATGGATACTACTCCTTATCACCTGTACCTATTAGTTCCTTCTCGGCCATCCATTCATTGCACAGTGAATGCTACACAAATCGCACTGTTACTTCCTTGCTCAGAAACACGTGGTGGCCCCCTTCTGCTTACAGAACAGTCTCAACCTCTGAGCCCTGTGATTTCAGGTCCTTCCCCATCCAGCTCCACCCCACCTTACAACATATCCCTGCTCACTGTAGCATCAGCAGCCTGCGCACACCCTGTGCTACGTGCTTGCTGAACTATTTCCCCCAGGCTCTGCCTTTTCCTTCCCTTTCTACATCTGAAATGTCCCTGTTTCAAGGCCCAGTCAAGTACTACTTCCTGTAGGAAGCCTGGACCTACGCCCACCACAAATACCACGTCACTGGTGTGGTGGCGGTGCTTCCCCAGTCCTTCGTGTGTGTCTCTATGCCCCGATCCCAACTCTGCTTTACATTAGACTCAGTTACACTATGTGTTTATTCCTTTTAACAGTCACTCAGTGGGAGAGAGATCATTTTATCTATCCGAATCTGCAGAGTTCCCACATGTAGCCGGGACTCAAGGAAAGGTCGCTGAACAAAGCTGCACTGAAATCCCGGCAGCCCTCTCGCCACCGCCTCTGTCTACCAGAGCCTGCGACACTGACAGTGGCAGCTGGCCAGCTGCTGGAGCCGCTGCCTCCTCGCCAGCCCTCGGAAGGTTCTAAAATTAACTTAATGACCACAAGGGGCTTAGACGTCAGGGCCATCATTACAATGTCTTTCTAGTTACTTCTTTGAGAAATCAAATGCTCTCATTCCTCAATGGAAAATAAATGTCTCTTCTGTCAAGAAGCCAAGCAATGAATTAAAACCAGTTGACTTTCAATTTTTCCTAATAAGCAACTTAAAATACATAGGAAATTTTTCATTTGAATCATAAGTGCTCTCTGTGGATAACCCCGTCTCTCCAGTCTCTCTGCTGGGAGGGGAGGCACAGAGGTAAGGGCATGAGCTTGCTGACTGTCTGCCGAACAGGAAACTTTGCAAAGGAAGCAGCATAAAAGGCCGGACTACTTTACCTGTGCAACAGGCTGATCGTCATTGGTGTTTCTACGAGAGATGAGTGTGCAAGAATGAATGACATGACTGGGGCCCAACAGTCAGAGAGGCCACATCCAGGGACACGCCTGCTTCCAGAGCCTGTCACCACCAACAGCTGCTTCCACAGCTGGACCTCACGACCAACAGCGAGAGTTCAGTAAGAGTCAACAACAAACCCACCCTTTGCGCTTGTCTCCAGCCACACAGCAAGCACACCTTCCGGCCTGTGGCCTCCCAGGGTCTCCGTGATCGCTCCGAGCACTGCTCCTGGCCCTGCTCCTGCTCCTGCTCCTGCCTGGAAAGGCGCTGTGCACAGAGAAGCAGGACCTGCTGCTCCCGCCTGTACGGCACCTTCTCCCATTCCTTTCCAGTGAGCGATCCTGAGACACCCAATCAGTTACGTCTCATTACCAAACCTGAGGATCTGACCAACCCTCCGGCTTCAATATACATGTAAACTGACAGTTTTATTGAAAGCATACTGCTCTCTTATCTTCCCGACTAGTGCCTCTTCACAAGTAGTTCACATTCATCTTCAATAATACAGTGCAGCTTGGTAAGTGAAAATTCTGGCTGGATCACTGTCGATTCGGCTATAACATAACTTATTTCCCCAAACTTTAAATTACGGATGTGGGTGAAACCTCAAATTATTAACATATACTAAACCTGGAACTCATTTTGCAAGTTCAGTTCCTTCTAATCAACACTTCAGGGACTGAAATAATTGGATGGAAAGAATACTCCTTTTTATTCTCTCAACTGCTTGCATTGGGGGGCATTTCGCTACATATTTCAAGACTGGAAGAAAAAATAAAAGCAGTTGCAAGTCAAACCAGTACATTTTGGGTTTTGTTGGTAGTTTAGGGAAGTGCTAGGGGATGCTTCTGGGGTATGTGGTAGGAGTTGAAGGTGGGATGGGGTAGGTGGAGAATAGATGGATATGGAACAGAATTACTACAATTTTTGTTGGTTTTTCATTATCTACTCATATAGACAAATGAAAAATCCACAAGATGACCCAACTTGGAAGAGCAAGTTATCACAACGAAGGTAAGCGATGATGACATGACGAGGAAGAGCTCCGCCTGGCGGGTCAGAGAAGCCCGAGCAGCAGGAAACAGCCCTCAGAACCGAAGTCTGCTCGGGCACCTTGGGCCCAGAAGCCATATTTCACTTCCTCTTATTCTGGCTCTGGGGCTGTTCTTATCCATGATGTCTTCCATTATTTACTAAAACATCTTATTTTATTTTTATCCTCACCCGAGGATATTTTTCCATTTTTTTGTTCAGATAGAGTGGGAGGGAAAGAGAGGAAGAGAGAGAGAAACATCGACGTAAAAGGGACACATCGAGTGGCGGCCACCGCATGACCCAACCAAGGCCGGGGACAAACTGCAACTGAGGTACGTGCCCTTAGCGGGAACCGAACCGGGGTCTCTCTGGACGGCAGGCCGACGCTCCAGCCGCTGAGCCCAACCGGCCAGGGCTATTTTATTTTTTAATCCTCACCCGAGGATATCTTTCCCTTGATTTTTTAGATAGAGTGGAAGGGAGGAAGGTGGGGAGGAGGAGGGGGAGAAAGAGGAAGAGAGATGACAATATGAAAGAGACACATCAATTGCTTCTCATATGACCACGACTGGGCTAAGCCAAACCAGCCAGGGCAAGGTTCTTATTCTTTTTCTTTTTATCCTCACCCGAGGACATTTTTGCATTTATCTTCAGATAGAGCGGGAGGGAGAGAGGGAGGTAGAGAGAGAGAAACATCCACATGAGAGAGACACATCGAGTGGCTCCCACCCACAAGACCCCAACCAGGGCCAGGGACAAACTGCAACTGAGGTACGTGCCGTTAGCAAGAACTGAACCTGGAACTCTCCAGTCCACGGGCCGACGCTCTAACCTGAGCCAAAGCAGCCAGGGCAACGTTTTTATTCTTAATGTCTCTTTCCTAATCTCTAAACAGCCCCACCCTCTCTTTCGCCCATATATGGGAGCTGCCTTCCCATGGGCACAGGGATGGGTTGGTTCCTATGAAAGAATCGAAGGCAGAAAGATAGGTCCCTGTGGAAGGACTTCAAGAGGAAGTAGAACTTAGTTTAACACTTGGAACTAGTTCAAGCAACAATAGAGACTGCCTGCCCTGGGTATGGTGTAGGGTTTGCAGAAGTATATGTGTGGCAAGAAATAAGATTATACAGTAGCATGAGGCCAGACAAAACATAGTTTTACCTGAAGAACAAGAACCCTAGAGTTCATCCTGTGGACCAGTGCTTTTCTTTCTTTCAAAAACTTAAAAAATTTTATTAGACTTCAGATACAAAAAATGATTATGAATTACCATCCTTGGTTTATGATAGTTTCACCATTGCTCCACTCATGGCCTGCTTTTATTTAGCTTTTTTTCTACAGCCTCATTGAGCTACATTTCACATCCCATAAAATCCACCCATTTCAAGCACACGGTTCAGTGCTGCCAGCACAGAGTTCTACAATGATCCCTCGATCAGGTTCAGAACATTCTCATCACCCCAAGAAGAAACCCCAACCGGTCAGCAGCCGCTCCTCTCCCCTTTTCAACTCTCCCACAGATGCCCAGCCCAGGCCACCACTAGTCAACTTGGTCTCTGCGACTTCTCT